GTTAAAATGAGTTATAGATGCGTTAATAACATAGATGAAACCATATCCCAACAGAACAACATTATAGTAAAAAATATAGTTTCAACAAAGACAAGGTAAATATTTCTAAAAAAAAATGCAACAGTCCCTTAAACGGTCAATACAAGACTGATAATATTGTATACCGAGCGAGCATATATTCCGGTAAAGATGTTAAATTTTAAGGAATGTAGAAAACTTATTCTTACAATCAGAAAGAGACAGTTGAAGAGTTATTATATATATATATATATATATATATATATATATATATATATATATATATATATATATTCACATACTTGTGTTTGAAGTTGAAGGTGGTATGTATATTTAACCGTTAGTAACGGATTTGCATAGGCAAGAAGAAAGAGAAGAAAGGATGTCCGGGTATATATATATATATATATATATATATATATATATATATATATATTAGGGTTATGACTTTTGTAAAATAATTGATTTCCTGTATCATAATTTGCTGAACTTTTTGTATAAAAATAAAGAAGAGTTTAATTTATTTTTTGTTAAATGACATTCCGAACACGAAATTTCTAAAATCGTATTGAAGTAGAGTAGTACTATAAATTTCCGGAGCCTTCTAGAACCTTATGGAACCTTCTAGAACTTGTTTTTGTTTATTTGTAATTTTGTCTTATGCTCTAGATATAAACTGTTAAAAGCGCTTAAAAATACGTAAGGATTATTCAATTAGATTATTAGAAAATTGAAAAATAAACCTTTTGAAATATTAAATTTTTTTTTTTAGCTTTATTGCGTATATGGTAAAAACAAATTTTCGGTTTGGGGTGACCTTTTTCAAGAACTAAAAAAAATATTGCTTTTTTGATTACTCTTGAACAAATTTTCATCGATGTATGACATAGGGACAATGGATTACAAAAACTCATAAAACTATTATATATATATATATATATATATATATATATATATATATAGCAATATCCACGTGATATGATTTTGTCTTGTACAAACTGGTTGAATTTTTGGAACGAAAAAAAGAATAAAGAAAAAAAAAGCTGAAGACCTGGCAAAGATGACCTGCATTAAAAAGTCGAAAGATAAAACGATGGCAAGAAAACTCGGGGCCATATTAAAAAAAAAATGTCTGCTTCATAGTTTCCACTCTAGGAGTTTCCCGTTTGGTTACAATGCTGACAAGAAATCTCGACGGTCTACTTTCTCAAGGACGACAGAAGAAGAAGAAGAGGATAAGGAGGAGGAGGATAATACGAAGAAGAATGAGAAAGAATAGAAGACGATGGAAAAGGGAATCTGAGTAACAATGAAGAAGAAGAAGGAAGAGGAGGAGAATGGAGGGTGAAGAGGAAGATGGAAAGCAGAGAAAGGTATAAAAAAAAGAAACAAAAGAAAAAAAGAACGTATGATAAGACAAATTGCTACGTATTTTGTGTGTACATACTGTTTATTTTATGACAAATGTTTCTACGAAATTGTAGCAACCAGCTTGATAAAAATGATCTCAAAGAAAGAGAATAATAGACATATGAACACATTTAGAAAGATAAAAAGATAAGTAGATATGGACAGAGATAGATAGATAGATAGATAGATAGATAGATAGATATGAAAAATCAGAGATAGATATGAGAAAGTGACATAGGTATGAAAAAACTGAGATAGATAGATATGGAAAGATTGAAATAGACAGATATGAAAAGTGAATATATGAACAGACTGAAATAGATAGATCGATATGAAAAAGTAAGAGAGATATGAAAAGATAGATAGTTATATAGAAAAAGTTAGATAGATATGAAAAGACTGAGATAAATAAATAGATAAAAAAACTGAAATAGATACATAGATAGAGAGATAGATAGATAGATAGAGAGAGAGAGAGAGAGAGAGAGAGAGAGAGAGAGAGAGAAATGTGAACAGTCTATGATATGTGGGTAGATTTTAATCAATCTAGATAAAATAGATCTGAACGGATACATATGCAGATACAATGTAATAACCAACTACACATTTCTGAGAAAGCCAATTTGCTTGAGCGGCTAGGCGAACCCGATTCAAAACGCCTGCACACACGCACATTTGTGATGGTCTAAACACCCACAAAGCCCACAAGCCGGTTATACTGCAACTATGTTGAGTAGAACTTAGTTACAGTTTCTGGGAGAAGAGACATAGTATATTTACTAACCTCCCCTGCGATCAGATGTGGCACAAGGCCGGATTTAATGTGGGGCATCTGAGCCCGTAGGCTCAACCAAAAATTCCCGTAGAACATATGTAAAACGGAGTCGGGTGGCATAGCCTCGTCTCGAAATCCTCTCTGTTCGACCAGCACAGCTGAAAAGATTTCAGCTAGTCAAAGCACCTAGAGAAGGCACATAATGCCTGAATCAACTGGTTGAATAAGGCCAGTACGCTCAAACCCTCGACGATCCGCCAACCGAATTTCACCTACAAAACCGCGTTACAGGTTTCAGACACTTTTCAATGTTGTCACTCGTTGGGGGTTGCCTCCTCAGACCGATAACATCAAGAACTCACCTTCTTAACAATTCGACCATAGAAAGATTCGAAACCAAGTCTTAGATTTGGAAATCGAACGTTCAAACCAATCGGCTATGCATCCATACAATCAGGACACTACCATGTGGTGTAATGGTTAGCAAGATTGACTCGATAAAGGAATTACCACTGAGTACTGAGTTCGATACTCACTAGGTACTCCATACTTTCTGCCTTGTGCCACATCTAAGCTACTCTTAGTAAATTGCCATACAATCATAACAAAATAAATCCGCACATTAGAGCTTAAATAAACGTGGTGATTGGAATAGAAAAGATGACTGAAGTCGAACATATATAGGATCTGTAGTAGTGTTTCCCATACTTTTTTGTTCAATAAACCCTTTTACCCGTATAATAGAATATCATTGCCCCCCTTCTAAGATTGTCTAAAATCAAAAGTTATATTCCAAATAATATGAGTATATTATTGAAAATCTTCATTCTTTTCCATATAATACATGTACATTTACATGAATTGTATATAGATATAAGAAGATATTGAAAACATTCTGGGCTGAAAATCTGACCCAATGACCAAACATGAGAATATTGGGTAGCTTTTCTTGGTCCAACCGAGAATCTTTCTACAATTGTCGTAGATACGAATGATTCTAATGTCTCCCCAGTCAGAATGAATGGTTTCACTCACGAAGCGGTTCCTTGTTTTGAAAGTCAACTGGGACTCAATTTCACCTCAGATCTGAAGTGGAACATATATACGATCTCTAGCAATGGTTCTGAACATTTTTGCCTACTGCAACCTTTTCCCCATATTTCAGAATGCCATTGCCACTTTTCCAAGATTGTCTGATTTAAAAGGTGTATTCCAAATAATATGCATATATTATTGAAATCTCAATTCTTTTCCCTATTAATGCATATACATTTACATGGATTATTTTTATGGAGGAGTTTTACAAATTCAATAGCAATAGAAAAATGTTGATGGATTTTAAACTTGAATACCTGTTAAGTAATTTGTTTGAATTCATAACTAATTATTAAATAAACAAACTGAAGCATACTTCAATAAACAAAAGGATGCCAGGGTTTTTAAATCGATTTTAATTTTGATGAAGATTACAGTCAATTAAAAACTTGTGAAAAAGTAAGTCGTTCCCACCTCTTGAAACTATGAAATTTCCTCCATTTGGGGAGCTCGAATGTATAGCTAAAGACACTGGAAAAATGCTCCATATGCCGATCCAGAAGGTACCTGACTCAACCTGTCTAGCTTTACAAGCGTCAGATCAGACCGAAAATGGAGTATTGCTGCCATATCTGCATTAGAGATGTCCAATCCTGCCTTTTTAGCCTTGGCAGAATTCAAAAGCCTTCATGCCGCCTTGTGAGCGATGGTTTATTTTTCATCTTACAGCCACTTTTCCCACAGCCACAACTCCTGAGACTAGAATAAACAGGGCGCAGTAGTGTCCTGAGCAGAAGGAAATACGTGCTGGCGTGGGTGCATGCCAGAAGAGGCGTGGCCACACGAAGTTGCCTAGGCGACATACCAGAAGAAGGTCTAGCCATGTGATGTTGCGTAGGTGTCCAAATGTTATTTAACCGGTCCGATTCTTGATCTGGACAGAGAAGCTGGCTAGGGGTTCACCGAAGATTTATCTCCGTCAGTTCCTGTGTGCGCAATCCTAATCTCTTTGATCCTCCCTCACTCTACCCATTTGCCACAACGAATAAACGAGTTTTAAGCCAATTGTTACTCTATTATTATCCTCATGGAAAATGTTCTCACGTGCTACATTTCTCAGTTCCACTATTTCAGATCTTTACAGCTTAGAGGTACCATGCCACGTACAAAGAGTTGAATCATCCTCATTCCCTTCCTGCTCCATTCGTGAGGCGGAAGTTTCATTCTAAAACATTCTTTGCAAGAGTCGTGTGCTTCATGGAACAAACACACGAGAAGATGCTTGCCTGAGCACTAAAATATTCACATCTCCAACTCTAGGGTCAACTGTTATCTCTCCTAAATATCCTTATAATCTACAATTCTTACGCCCCAAAAAACCGCATTCAGTAATACACAAATTTGACTGGCTATTGTGTCCTATACTGAATGAAAAATAGCCTAAAAATGATATTCACAGTGAATTCATATTGTCAAATTTACAAGTAGAGGGATCTTAAAGCCAATTTCTTGAGGATCTTGGGTACCTATTTTGGCTTAAGAATGTAACCCTGGTTACAGATAAGTAAACTGTCTTTACCAAGTTCCATAAATTGAAATTTAAATTGAATAATAACAAATTATTTCAAAGTATTAAATAAATTATAATTTTATTTGGTTGTTAGCCATTCAAATCGCAAACACATAGGCATGCACACAGGCATGCACACACGCATGCGCACAATAATCTTATTTTGCCAGCAGCTCTTGCTTAAAATGGCCTTACGGTCATATAACGTTCAAACATCGGTTCTCATCCGATCCCGGAAGGTAAGCAACGTTGAAACTGATCAGTACCTAAATGGGTGACCGATCGAGAATACTAGGTGCTGTAAGCTCGGATGTGAATGTGATGTAATGGATAACGGCTCGGGATGTGAAATCGGAGAGCCGAGTTCGAATTCCAGTCGAGTTCGTTACATTCACTTACGTGCAAATAACCTTGAGAAAGGTAGGAATCCAACTATTCTCCTCCCAGCTATGGATTAAATAGTAAAACTTGTATAAGAAAATCATTATTATAACCACTCAAAAAATATGTTTCGGCTTTAAATAACCTTAATAGGTTGATAAGACGTAAAAAACAAATCAATCTCTTACATAAAATACTAGCCACTGGCAATCCCTTTTCATCTGATTTCCATCGTAAAATAATTGTAGATATATAATTGTTTTTAATGCCATCTCCCTTCAGAATGTAGGCGGTCATGGCCCACCAGAACTTTCTTTTCTTAAAATCTGTGGCTTCTTATGACTATTTTGATGGAGTGATATTCCTGTTGTATTCTCTACGGTTTGAATTCTGAGTTGTCCTATTTTTAGACGAGTTACCTTACCAAAGATAGACAGTCCAGTCTACCTTGCTATTTGCAGCTTAGTTGGTAGTTGAGGAGATCAAAAAGTAACATTAGCGTGACAATAGTCTCAACAGTGTCGGCTGGAATTTGAACTAGTTTCGCCGATTCCAATTTCATTGCTAAGGAGAGAAAGTTACTCAAATTGCTTAGAAATTGAGTAAGAATTACTGAAAAAAAAATTACTTCCGGTGATTGGTGCTGTGACAATGCAGCAAAACGTAATCACGTGATATCAAATCTGTTGCATTGACCCTGCTCTATTAATTGGTGCATTATTAACATAGGGGAACCAGCCCGTGCAAAGGGGGACGTTGGAGAATAAAAGGTTCGAGATCATTGGTGTAAAAAAAAAATCTTTATGCAGCTGGTGTTTGTTTCAAGTTTGGCCCGAGTCATTTTCAAGATAGAAAAAAAAATGAGGTAAAATTTAAGGTTTTTATAAAAAAGCTAGCACCAAAAGCTAACCTCACACTCACCTGACAACACAGAAACAACAGAAAAATTAAATAAAATAATAGAATCATATCAAAGATGAGTACTATCAGTTATATTTCGAATTTAATGAATGAAACGCGGCAATTAATAGTTTTTTTTCCATTTTAATAATTTGAATTTCCAGCAAAACTTGGATATGAAACAAAATGGTGGGAAAGAATAGATACATCTATAATCCTTGATCTCGTTATCGAAGACTTATTGCTGTGAGAGAGACCCTTTACATAAAACATCTGGTACCCAATATAAATCTCACCTTATTCAGTAACGGAAATACTGTTTTTTTTTTTTTTTTGTTTTTTTTTTTTTTAATAGAAAGACACCAAATTGAATTCCAGCCATGCTCAACTCCGAATAAACGCTACTACTACTCAAACAGAACAAAAACTACATTTTAAACAGACAAACATGAAAATAAATTAACAAAACTTAAAAACAAACACCCTTGAGAAATGGATAAAGAAGTCGCTAAAAGAGCTCGGGACAATGGATAATACAAACAATTTTTGCATTTCCTTCTTCCGACCAAATAGGAAAATGTTAGAATGTTGGAAAAACTAAATAAGAAAAAAAAATCATCAAATTTTCCTTGTCTGTCAGATTCAGTGAAACATGTTTAAGAGAAAGGTTGCTGCCCAAATATATATTATGTAAATCCTTGATCTATAAAGGTCGTATTAAAAAAATGACTCACTAAGCAAATACCAACCTTTCAAAAATGAACTGAAATTTAACCAACGTTACTTACTATAGTGATTTATTTTAAACCACCATAGTTACTATGGTGATTTATTTTAATCTAGCCAGTGACTTCATTTTTTGTTTTTAAGACTTGTATTCAACAAGAACGGCTTCTTCTTTTTCCTTGAGAATAATAGTTTGCATAAGGTTTATAAGAGAACAGAGACACGTAATAAATAGGTCAACCTTTAGAATTCGTAAAAGCTTTATCTTTTTCTTTCTTTTTTTTACGATTTGTTTACTGAATACAAGGCCTAGGAGCCACTCAGTGTAGAGGGTTACTGAATGAGGTTGTTGTATGAACATAGTTTATGAGGATATGTAGGAAAGATAATGTTTAACTCTATACTTTAAGAGGTAAAGATTGTAGTGTTCTGTGAAACATCCTCTTAGGAGTCTGCGCCACACAGTAGGGGATCATTGAAAGAAGCTGTCTGAATATAACTTCCTCCTTACTAATGGAATACGAGAGAAATGGGGATAATTCGTCCCAGTCTACGTGGCACGGCGGGTATTAGCTGTGAAGGTTTGAACTTGTGGAACTAAGGCATGTAGATCTTTAAGATATTTAGGACAGCGACAGAATAGGGAGAGATTTGCAACCTTTCATCTGTAGTAGAAATGGGTTGTAGGATGGGAAATAAGTAATCACCCACAAGGTCGCGTAGAAGCTTCTGAACTCTGTTAAAGCTGGAAAGTGTTCATATATTATCGATATTTTGCCATTTGCTTATTCCGGATTTAATATTTTCTCGTGTCACAATATAAATGATCATTACAATAAATTAAAGTTTTGATATTTTCATTTAATAAATCCCATTAAAAGTAAATTCGTAATAATAATCAACAACGAATAATTAATGAATAAATACAAAATGCATTATGTAATTAATAATAAATAATGAACTAAAAGTTAACAAAAACCCTGTTAAGAGCTAAAAAACAGCCGAATTCTGGACCATAATTATTTTTAATCAATCACCTTTAGAATGATTTAAAATATAACCGTTCCCGCCTCTTCAATAATCGTTAGAATAACAGACCTTGACACCAATAATGAATCACTGACCATCCCCACCTCCCCCCCAAATACTCGAGCTACCACTCAAACACACATGGTCTGAAAAGTGCGTTAAAACACGTAACAGACTCTCGTCACACTCTTATATTTACACACTATCCTGGATCTGACATTCTGTATATATATATATATATATATATATATATATATATATATATATATATATATATATCGACTGGATCGAAATCGATCCCAGCGTGCGGCACTTTTGACCGAAGCCTTGTTAGTGAAATTCAGTAGACGGAACTCTCGTGGGCTGTCGACAGCTGTGCTAGCAGGAAGTCACAAGTCATCGTGGCCGAGGGCTTGAGCATGCTGGCCTTATTCAAATCGTTGATCACGCTAGATAACAAGCTCTCTCCCAGAAACTGTAACTAAAGTCTGCTCAGCATAGTTGCAATATAAACCACAAGTTGGCTCTGTGGGTGTTGAATAAACACAAATGTGCCTGAGTGGGCGCCTGCAGTAGGGATTGGCTAGCTGCCCTAGTAGACGGACACCCTTGAATACGAGTGGCCCGTTATTATATATATATATATATATATATATATATATGTGTGTGTGTGTGTGTGTTTGTTTAAAACTTTACATATTTTTATGCTCTTGATCAGGGGTCGGCAAACTTTTGTTAACTATGGGTCGACTTAGGTTTTAAAATCATTCAGTGTGCCAACAGCATAAGTCAAAGTCAATATATCTGTTTTACAATATATTTTATATAGTAATATATCGTATGTATACTTTAGCATATATTAAAATTGTAACAGCTAAATATCTTCTTTGCTTTGTAGTAGTTATTGGTTAAGACTTCATGATGTCATTTGCAGTTGCGTGCCACTGAAAATTGCTTGGCGTTCCACGTGCGGCACGCGTGCCGTAGGCGGTCGACCCCTACTTTAGATATAAACACTGAATAGAAATAAAAATTGTATGGTATCTGATACTTACATCTTTTGATGGTTGCTTCAGGCATGAAACTGACTGTCACTATTTAGTGTTGATATCTTTGCCCATACTGTTTCTATTTAACTATTAGATATGTACTATTTCTAATTAACAACAAAAAAAAACAAAAAACAATTGCTTATATATGTGTTGACTTATATCTTCGCACTGTTTGTTTGTTTCTATCTATCTATCTATCTATCTATCTATCAATGTTATTCGTACTATTCAAAAAGATTTTCTACTGTATAAACTAGGAGGTTAATATATATGTATTTGAATGATATGTTCATTGGTGCGTATATGCATGCGAAAGAATTTTTAATTTTGTAAACGCTGACATTAAGATAGAAAAGGGCGCTTTGACTTCAGAAAAAAAAAAAAATGAAAAAAAAAAAAAGAATAAAAAAAAACGCAGCCCGCACTAAAACTCGCCTAGGACAAAACTTTTCTTTGCATAGCCGAATTGCGGTGGGACGCCTTAGTTTTATCAACGGTTGTTTTCGGTGAGAAATAACAACAAGTAAATTGCCTCGTTTTGAATTGCCTCGTTTTGAATTGCCTTGTTTTAATTTGTTTCGTTATTCCTGTAACATGTATGGCATTCAGGCGTACACTTCGGTTCAACTTGGGATTGAATCTTAAAAACTTTCCGTGAAAAAGGATAGAGAACGATCTACGCATCAACATTGCTATATATTTTTTTTTTTATCTTCAAGTAATTTAAAAGACACATCATTCGCCATCTTTTTTCTGAAACCTGTACCTTTTATTTTCTTCACTAAAACGTTCTCATTTCCTTTCACCCTTTGTAATCCCTTGCGTCTAAGTGGCAATATTGCATTGCTTGTGTTGAAATTATTAAAAAATCTATTTATGATTACATGTATTGTACAGATTTTCTTCCGATCATTTGTGCTTTGTCTCCAAATTTACGATTTTTAAATAAGTGATTTTTATCGTCACACCGACATAGTGTTATATTTTACGTTATTTTTAAAAAATATTAATTTCATCCAATACAATACTCAAGAGCCATTCAAGGCAGAGAATTACATTAACCCTTTGAGCCCTGACCACCGCTTTACCGGTGGTAGAAAAAAGTGACATAATGCCCAGCCACCGGTTGAACTGTGGGTAAACACTTGCGCCGTGTTCTTGTGCATCAATAGAAGCAGCACATGCTGGGTAGACTGGCACACAAAGAAAGAATTCTG